ACAGACTGGGAGACGTTTTTTGTCTATGACAAATCCGACAGTGGTCTAACCTCTAAAATTGATAGGAAAATCCAGTACCTCTACAACAGAAAGACAAATAATCCAATTAAAAAATGAGCAAATGATATGAACCGACACTTCTCCAAAGAAGAATTCAGGTGGCTAACAGACACTTGAGGAAATGCTCGGGATCACTAGCCATTAGGAAAATGCAAGTCAAAACTACAGTGTGGTGCTATCTCACCCCGACATTACTGGCACAAATCAAAAAAACAGAAAACAAATGTTGGAGAGGCTGCAGGGAGATAGGAACTCTTATGCACTGCTGGTGGGAATGCAAAGTGGTACAACCACTTTGGAAAACAATATGGCCCTTCTTTAAAAAGCTGGGAATAGAAATACCATATGATCCAGCAATCCCACTTCTTCCAGTATATCCTAGAGAAATAAGAGGTGTCACACGGATAGACATATGCACACACAAGTTCATTGTAGCATTATTCCCAATAGCAAAAAAAATGGAAACAACCTAAGTGCCCATCAACAGATGAATTGACAAACTATGGAACGTACACACAATGGGATACTATGCAATGATAAAGAACAATGATGAATCTGTGAAACATCTAACAGCGTGGATGAATCTGAAGGTCATTGTGCTGAGTGAAATAAGTCAATCACAAAAGGACAAATACTGTATGAAATCACTATTATAAAAACTCATTACAAGTTTTACACAGAGAAAGAAATAATCTTTCATGGTTATGAAGGGGGGCTTGGGTGGGAGGGAAAAACACTAAATAGACAATAGATAAGCGATAACTTTGGTGAAGGGTAAAACCAAACACGGTACTGGGGAATTCACAGCTTGACCAAGACAAAGTCATAGAAGATTCATAGACACATCCAAACTCCCTGAGGGAGCGAGTTGCTGGGCTGAGGGCTGGGGACCGTGGTCTCAGGGGACATCTAGGTCAATTGGCATAGCATAATTTATAAAGAAAATGTTCTACATCCTACTTGGCTGAGTAGCATCTGGGGTCTTAAAAGCGTGTGAGGGGCCATCTAAGATACACCACTGTTCTCACCCCATCGGGAGCAAGGGAGAATGAAGAAAACCAAAGACAGAAAGGAAAGATTAGTCCAAAGGACTAATGGACCACAACTACCACAGCCTTCACCAGACTGAGTCCTGCCCAACTAGACAGTGCCAGGCTGCCCCACCTACTGCTCTGACAAGGATCACAATAGAGGGTCCTGGACAGAGCTGGAGAAAAGTGTAGAACAACCTTCAAACTCATTAAAAAAAAAAAAAAAAGACCTGACTTACTGGTCTGACAGAAACTGGAGAAATTCTGGGAGTATGGCCTCCGGATACCCTTTTAACTTAGTGGTGAAGTCACTCCTGAGGTTCATCCTTCAACCAGAGATTAGACAGGCCCATAAAACAAAGAATAACACATGTAGCTCAACAATATATATGAAACTAACGAGGCACACCAGCCCAGGGGATAGACAAGAAGGCAGGTGGGCCCAGGAAACCTGCAGGAATGGAAATGGGGAACCAAGGTCGACAAGGGGAGAGTGTTGACTTGTTGCTGGGTTGGCATCCAATGTCACAAAACAATATGTATTTTAATTGTTTAATGAGAAACTAATTTGCTCTGTAAACTTTCACCTAAAGCACAATTGAAAAAAAGAGAAGACGACTTAGGAAGTATCTTCTGAGAGAAAAGGTTCTTTAGTAACATCCAGTTCCTAACCTGAAGAATTCAGTACACATGAGTTTAACAAACAGGTTATTGTAGGAATAAAAATTTTCTTTAAAAAAAGTTATTGCTTTTTATCTTTCAAGAGTACAGGCTTTCATTTTAAATTGTTTCCAGAAGCCAAGGAAATAATGAAGAATGGAAAGTGGTGATAAAACTAGATTATTTCACAGAAAGTCTTAAATATGGAGTTTTTGACTAGTTATCTTTTCTAAGTCAGTTTATCCACTTTGATAATTGTTCAGATTCCACATGGAATATAATTGCTCTTTAAAAAGTAAAGCAAACATGCCTATTAAGAATCTTAATACGGGAATATAAGCAGTTGAATATTCTTGATAAAGGAAAATAAAATCTGCTAAAAAGAAACCATTCAGAGAGAGAAAGAGGGTGGCAGCATTCTGGTTTTTAAAAACAAAAGAAAACCATAAAATATCTTCGGGAATAAGTAATGACTAAGGATTTGGCTTTTTCAGCAAATTTTCCTGTGTTCTGTAGGATATAATATTTTGCTTGAAAAAATTCCTGGCACTCTTGGAGGCAAAAGATTGCCCACATACTACTTGTTTTGGTTGCTCTGTTGCCAGATGAACTGAACCAACAAATACCTAGTTTTTCTTCTGTTCTTTTTTTATATGACTAGTTTTCATATATATCTTTTTTAAACATGTAGAGAAAGATCTGGCCACTTAAACACTAAACTCAACAGTAGTATGTTACCTCTGGGAAGTAATGTAATAGAATGAAGTAAAACTTCCAATTTTTTCTGTATGTACTTTTATATTATTTGAGTTTTTTTTTTTTTTAGAAGAGTCTTTGTTCTGTTAGCAATTAAAATCAGGAAGGAAAAAAGTTGTGTAGGAAAATAAACTATTTTTAAAGCTCTTTAATACCACTTAAATCCTTGTGATTTAAGTCAGATTTTTAACAAATGGGGATGTGCAACTGATTGTGGAAAAAAATTATGTATTATGTCTAATATATAATATGAGTTTGGTTTTGGTGTTTTAGAAATATTAACATGTTATAGATTACATTGTTAACTCAACTATTGACTGAGTCTCGTCTCCAAGACCTTTAAATAAACAGTATTATTTGTGACTCTAGTTTTGAATAGTTTGGATGGCTCCTTGCTTATGAATATCTTTAGTCAGTGTAGTTATAAAGCGTGCCCATTTTCAACTTCTGTAGTTGGGTTTGGGTTTAATTTTTTCTAACCACAAAGAATAGGGAAGGTGCACCACTCCCAGTCTTCCTCAGCCTGAAGTGGTTTTTCTGGGGTTTTGTTGATCTTGATAATGACAGCTGTGATCTCTACTTTCCCTCTTTGGGATTTTTTTTTTTTTCCTGCTATTTTATGATGACCCCTTTAAGGTAGAAATATGGGGAAGTCAGTGTCAGTATTTTACTAAAACCCTTAAAAATTCTTATTTCCTGGTATTATTCTTCTCATTTACTTTACTACATAAGTCAAATATATACCTTATTCATTAAAGTTTCTCTTTTCCCTTCTGTGTCATACTTACTTCTTTGTTCGGTGAAGTTTGTTGAGTGATTCCTAAGTGTCAGGCCCTGGAAATAGAGAATAAGATAGGCCAAATCCTTTCCCTCATGAAATATGTATTTTGGTTGAGGAGAGAGAAAATCAACACATAAACAAGTAAGATAGTTTCAGATATTGCTAAGTGCTACGAAGAAAATGAAATAGGATAAAAGGAGTGATGAGGACTGGTTTAGCACTAACACGTGGAGTTGGGCAAAAATAGAACTCCACAAGAATAGCACAACTACATACCAAATGTTTAAATATTGAAGTTATAACTCAAGCTTTATCCTTGACTTGAGTTCCTACTTTATAGCCTGAGTTACTAGCAGCCTGCCCACTGAAGACCCAGAGGCTCCAAGTCAGCCTTTCCACCTGCTAGTCTCAGTGGGGAGCCCTGGTGGTGCAGTGGTTAAAGCATGTGGCTGCTAACCAGAAGGTCAGTGGTTCGAAACCACCAGTTGCTCCTTTGGAGACGGATGTGGCAGTCTGCTTCTGTAAAGATTTATAGCCTTGGAAACCCTACGGGGCGGTTCTGCTCTGCCCTATAGGGTCTCTATGAGTCGAAATCGACTCGACAGAAGTGGGTTTGGTTGGTTTTGTTTAGTCTGAGTGGTAGCATAGATTTTGTTGGGCAGAGCGGGGATGACTAGGTGGTGCCTGGACCTATCTAAAACAGTAGAGGAACTGAGTCCATTAAGCCCCCGGAACCAACAGAGAGGTTCGCCTTCTTACCTTTCCACCTGAAGACTTCCAGGAAGTTCTAAACCCTTCCGACAATTGCGCTGAGAGGTGGCGCAGTGGTTAAAGTGCTTGGCTGCTAACCAGAACGTCTGTGATTTGAACCCACAGTTGCTCCGTGGGAGAAAGATGTGGCAGTCTGCTTTGGTAAAGATTTACAGCTTTGTAAACCCTATGGGGCAGTTCTACTCTGTCCTGTAGGGTCACAATGAGTCAGAATTGACTCCTTGGCAAAGAACAGATGAGAAATGATGCAGTTATCTGGCTTACCTAGGCAGTCACTTTGGTTGATTTGAGGGAGCCAACTTTTAACTGAATAAAGCTTTTATAAGCATACATTTTTTCTAGGATTTTTCAGGGCAGAAGCTGTGATGATTTTTTCCTTTTCCACACATACTGGGGCACTCTCAGTTCTCTGCATCCTCTGGCTTGGGGGTCTTGTTCAGCTAGCACATGTCCCTTATAATTCTTGTTTGTTCTGTTGGTTACTGAACTTTCAAAAAACTTTCTTACAAAGTTGAAAGAAAAAAGTCTTTGTTTTAGTGCTTGTGATATACAGGTCCTCTCCAAAGTGCAAAGGCCCTGGCAGAGGCTTCTCTTGCCTAGGTCTGAAGGTGATGCTGGACTGGTGATGGAAGTCATTACTTTTAGATGCCTCTTTGACTTCTTCCTATCCTGCTACCTTTTGAATTGCCTTAGTCCCCTTCTCAATTTGTTTTAATTTGTAAATTTGTTTAATTAATAAAACTTAACCAGTATCCTTTGGCATATCTATGTCTGAAGAGTAAGCTCCAAATAAAAATGAAAATTTGCTAAAAGGTTTTTTGTAAGATTTTAAGTAGCAATGACTAATTTTCCTGTAAAAAAAAAAATTGGCAAACTATATACAAATTCGCTGTATATTTAAATAATAGCTTAAATGGTATGTTGTATTTTTATCCTTACAGGTGTGAAAGTTGTGTGGATTTATTATTTGTGAGAGGAGCTGGAAATTGTCCTGAGTGTGGCACTCCACTTAGAAAGAGCAACTTCAGGGTACAGCTCTTTGAAGATCCTGCTGTTGACAAGGAGGTTGAGATTAGAAAAAAAGTGCTAAAGATGTAAGTATTATTGCTTGAATGACTAAGTCAACATAGAGGACTTTAACAATTATTTCAATAATTGATGTCATTATCAGTTCATATGAATGTGGACAGATTACCAGGTGAATAACTGTAAATTCATCTATGTATTTGTTCAACTGTGGCAGGTGTTTAGTTGATCTGGATATAGCAATGAACAAAATTAAAGCAAATGAAGTTGTCATGTATATTTCTGTTTTGAGGGGGAGTTTTTTTCCCTCTTGAGAGTTCTATTTTGTATAATGTAGAGATGAATACTTCTTTAGAGAACTCCTAGTAATATTATTTTTCTAACTTCTGTTAGAGAAGAGTAGATCCTCTTGATTGATGGTTTCACAGTTCATTCATTTGCTTTTTTTTCTTTAATTAACATATGTATTGAGTACCTACTGTGTGCAAACACTGTGTTAGGCGTGTTAGGCGCGAGATGTGAAGTGATGAGTGGAAACAGCTATAAACCCTGCCCTCATGAAGCTTATAGTAGCACAGTATAGCCTAGAGAGAGACAATAAAACAGAAAAAATATAAATTGAGGAAAAGTGTTATAAAGTTAGTGATTGAGTGTTGGTAGCATTTAAGTTGAGATTTGAAGGCTGTTTCAGAAAATCATGTGGTAAAATTTACTTTGAGATATATGTGTGTGTGTATATATATGTATATATATACACACACACACATATATATATATATACACACATATATATATATGTATATGTACCACTGCCTTCGAGTTGATTCTGACTCATAATGACCTCATAGGGTTTCCAAGGCTGTAAATCTCTCCGGAAGCAGACTACCACATCTTCCTCCTGTGGAGATGCTGGTGGTTTTGAACTGCTGACCTTTCGGTTAGCAGTTGATTGCTTTAATCACTGCGTCACCAGGGTTCCATGTAGGTTTATATATATTCTCTTCCTTTTTATAATTTTGTTTGTACTTTTTATTCTTTGTTAATACTTTTGTGTGTTATTTTTTGTCCTTTTACTATAAGCTACTTTATCCTTGTTTTTGAAATTAAAATAATAAAAAAAAAATTTGGTGCTATACATTTCAACTCAGGTCACCAATGTTTTAGTAGCATCTTTCTAGGTACATACCCAATGCTACTTTATCAGTGCCCCAAGCTTCTCTTTCATGAGGATTACTTCTGGGAGATAGTCTCTCTTAGATTTGGTGTTTTATTGTTAACCTCTTGCAGTTTTCTAATTCTTCATATGTATGTTGAAATACTTCAGATTTTCCTGATACAGATTACCTTAGACTATAGCTGTCATGGAAAAGGGGGGAGGTCTCTTTTAAATTTTTAGTTTTCTGGAAATTAGTAAATTATTTATAAGAGTTGAACATCTTGATTTCCAATTATAAACCTCATTTAAGCTTATTTTCCCATTACTTCAAGCTTCTAATTTCTCTTTCCTTTAAATCTTAGAAGGATTGTATATATTGAACCATTTTCTCCTGATTCTACTCCTAAGTAGTCGTAACAATTTAAGAATAGCATTCTTGGTTTACTTAAAAACGCTTTACCAGGGTTTTAACTAAAAACAATGTTTTATGCAATAAGCAGTCCTTTTCTATGTATCATGTATGAGTTAAGAACAAATATATCAGTTCGATAATATTGAAAGCAAGTACTGTATATTATGTTGATTTTTTTTTTTTTTTGTCTTTTTTTTTGTCTTTTAAAGATACAATAAAAGAGAAGAAGACTTTTCTAGTCTAAGAGAATATAATGACTTCCTGGAAGAAGTGGAAGAAATTGGTATGTTTTTGATACTTGTACTTTCGGTGTGCTAGTCTATGAGACCTTGTACTTTTATCTTTTAGAAGCCTAGAAGAACATCTCATATAAAAATCTCTGACAGGTTTTGTTGTGGTAGCTGATGTTTATTTAATTGCTTTCTCTTGCACTTGAATCATGTTTGTCAGATTGAAGGCATACTTAAGTCAAGGACATACTTAAGTAAAAAACATTTTGTTTTATGAAAAATATGATGAATAGATGTGGTACTACTTTATAGCTGGGAAGGAAGGCCAATCTTGTATGTTGATGATGTTATCAGAGTAGTTTAAATAAAAGGACTTTTTCTATATAATTTTCATTAGCTTTATCCACAGTGATTAAAGCATACGTTGTTTATCATCATTATGTTTGTGTGCATACAGTAGTTTGAAAATACTTAGAAGCAGTTGACTATTAAAGTAGCATTTTTTTGTTATTCAGGAATCAGAGGTTAGTGTAATCTTTTTCTGACGTGATTAGTTAAAAGCATGCTTTTGTCAAAAAAAAAAAAGTATTGTTTCTGTTAAATAAGATTTGTGAGACATTAAAAAGCCTGGAAGTGATTACATATTGATTCAAAAAATTAATGGCATTTTCTAAAGGTGCCGTAATTATTACTAAGTACAGGTTTGGAAATGACACAGAGGTTATAGACTGTGAAAATAGAATGAGGCTATGAGGATCAAACAATAATCTTTTTTATTCTCTTCTCAAACTTGAAAGCTAAACTATATTCATATTTTTCTTATTTAAAATGAGTGTAAGAAACTCCTCGATATGATACTGTAATAGTGGACACAAATGACATTATGCATTTGTCAAAAACACATAGGACTATACAATACAAAGAGTAAACCTCATTGTAAACCATGGTCTTTAGTGAATACTAATATATCAAATTAGCTCATCAATTGTAACAAATACACCAGAGGAATGCAAGTCTAATATATCAAATTAGTTCATCGATTGTAACAAATATACCAGAGGAATGCAACTTGTTAATAATAAGAGAAACGGGAGTGTGAGACTCTCTGGGAACTCTCTGTACTTTCTGCATAATTTCTCTGTAAATCTAAAACTGTTCTAAAAAATAAAGTCTAAAATATAGGCTTTATTTTATCTAAAAATAAAATCTAGTGAAATGTGATTATAATAAAATTGATCAGTCTTTTTTAGATACTTGAGTTTCTTTTATTTGTTTAACTATACTTTAGATGAAAGTTTACAGAACAAATAGTTTCTCATTAAACAGTCAGTACACACATTGTTTTATGACGATGGTTAACAACCCCACAACATGTCAACACTGTCCCTTCTCAAACTTGGGTTCCCTATTACCAGCTTTCCTGTCCCCTCCTGCCTTCTAGTCCTTGTCCCTGGACTGTTGTGCCCCATTAGTCTCATTTTGTTTTATGGGACTGTCTAATCTTTGGCTGGATGGTGAACCTCAGGAGTGACTTCATTACTGAGCTAAAAGGGTGTCTGGGGGCCATACTCTCAGGGTTTCTCCAGTCTATCAGGCCAGTAAGTCTGGTCTTTTTTTGTGAGTTAGAATTTTGTTCTACATTTTTCTCCAGCTCTGTCCAGGACCCTCTGTTGTGATCCTGGTCAGAGAAGTCAGTGGTGGTAGCCGGGCACCATCTAGTTGTACTGGACTCTGTCTGGTGGAGGTCGTGGTAGTTGTGGTCCATTAGTCCTTTGGACTGATCTTTTCCTTATATCCTATTCTCTTCATCCTCCCTTGCACCTGAAGGGATGAGACCAGTGGAGTATCTTAGATGGCTGCTCACAGGCTTTTAAGACCCCAGACACTGCTTACCAAGGTAGAATGTAGAACAATGTCTTTATAAAGTGTGTTATGCCAGTTGAGCTAGATGTTCCCTGAGACCATGGTCCCCACAGCCCTCTGCTCAGCAGTTCAGTCCCTCAGAGAGTTTGGATGTGTCTGTGGAGCTTCCATAACCTTTCCTTGTACAAGTTGTGCTGGCTTCCCCAGTTCTGTGTACTGTCTTACACTTCACCAAAGTTACCACTTATCTATTATCTATTTAGTATTTTCCCCCCACCCCTCCCATCCCTCGTAACCAACAAAGATTGTTTCTTTGGGTGTAAACCTTTTCATGAGTTCTTACAGTAGAAGTCTCATACAGTAAAAAATTGATCATTCTTTAGAAGGTTTATATATGCTAAACCTTGCAAAAATTCAGATTCTTGAGGAACGGAGTACTCTAATTCCTTTAATTTCTTTATTAACTGAGAAAAAAAATCCAGAAATTCTTTTTGTTTCAAGTGTTACTGAGCCTTTTCTAAAATACCTAATTCTTTTTTATACCATAGCAAATAGCATGTTCAGTACGTAATTTAGGCTTTGTCTGGGATCTTTTAGTGCCTTAGAGCCACTGTTTTTTCATTCTGATTTTACTTAGTGTACTTTGTATTAATCTTAGCAACCATGATTGGCTGTAGATTTTATCTGAAAAATGGTAGAATTTGGAGTACCATTGCAAACTGGCAAAGTTAGTATATAGACTGTGAAGATAAAATATTTACAAGAATTGGGCAAGTATGCATGTATGTAGAAATCTGGTTATATGTAGATACTAAGCATAGGACAAGCAGTTGGATAGCAAGCAGGAAGAACTCAACTTACACTAACTTTAAGGGCAATGTGACTAGTTAAAAGTCTGAGCAGGTAATAAAGGGAAATGAGATTATAGATGTTGCAGGACAAGTTGAATGTATGATCCCAAATCCAAGCAGACAGTGAGGATGATTAAAAGAAACCAATGGGTAAAGAAGGTGGGGAACAGGTTCCAAGGATGATCTTGATTCTAGGACAAGGTTCTGGATAAGCCATGAATTTTAAAAATATAATTTCCACTGTGAGATGAATCAGTTTGAAGGCACAGATAACCTGGGGCCAATAGGTAAAACCAGGTTCATGTCTGAAAGTAGGAGCTAGGATTAACAGGTAAGAGCAAATCACAATATTAGGGCTATGCAATATGTAATCCTTTCTTTACTAGTTAAGGAAAATGTAGCCCAGAGCCTTTACTTTGGAAGTGATTCTGCTATTATGTACATTCATGAAGGACTGTCTTCATTTGCAGTACACTGAAGCTCTCTTAACCAACCTCCACTTGATTGTCTTATTGGAGTAACTGACATCTCCCTAGCCCATCCATAAAATGTACTCACTGATGGCCAAAGCCTAACGAATGTATAATGAATGCTCTCCATAAGAAGCAGTTCTTGTGTAAAAATCTGTACTTCCCTCATCAGTTCACTTACATACTAAGAGTTAGTTGCATTAGTATCTAAACTTTTTTATGCCCCTTGAACTTGTTATTGTAATTTTGGAACTTCATTAAATAGTGTATAAAGTTGGGGAAAAATTACAAAACTCTAGGATTCTGCTTTCTCAAGTTCTTGCTCCACTTTAAAAAAATAGAAACTGATATTCACTCCAGAGATCCCTGATGGGTCAGCCAAGGCTTTACAAGTCATCTTCCCCCTCTGTCCAATCCTGCATCTTCGCCCTTCCTTTCACCGATGTTGATCCCTAATAAATATCCTGCACACCAAAAAAAAAAAAAAAAAACAAGAAACAATATAGATGATGAGATGATTTATCCAAGAAAGAAGCAAAACTCCAACTAAAGACTAGAGCTGGGCTGTATGTTATTAAGTTGAGAATGAATGTACACTTACTGTATATGTTTATGTTTTAAGTTAGAATGTTTGAGTATGTGTGTGTTTCCCTCCTTTAACAGACTTTTCTAAGTAATCAGTTACTAATCCTGAGGGCTTCTCTGTATCTGAAGAAACTGATGATGTTTGGGACTTAGTTTCATGCACTTACAGTTTATTTTCTGAACTTTGGCTCAATTCAACAAATATTAATTATTGTATATGAATTGCTATACTTGTGGGAACTGTATGATCTTTGCCCCTCAATAAGCTCGAACTGTAATGGGGGAGATGATTATGTAAATTAATAACTAATTTAAAATTTTATTTTTGTAATAACTGTAATTTAATGTTATAAGTCTTATAAGCATTTATAAAGTGCTGTTGGAGTACAGTTCAGGAAGCAATTCATTCAGCACTCGGAAATAGAAGTGAGTTTGGGAAAGCTCAGCGAAGAGGCGACATTTGAGTTTTATCTTAAAAGGGGACAGAAGATCATTTGTGGTGGAAGAAAAAGTATGGACAAAGGCACAGAGTTACAAAGGTGTTGAGCATGTCGGAGAATGAGCAAGTAGTCTGATATAGTTAAGTAGAACATGGGGAATGATTACAAAGGAGGCTTGAAAACAGGCAAAACCTGAGTTAAGGATGGCTTTGTAAGCTGAGCTGTGGATTTAAGATTTTATTCTATGGCCAATTGTGAGCCAGCAGGAACAGTGTGGTGGTGAAGTGGAATATTGAAAGGAGTACTTGGCAGGAAAGCATTTTTAAGGGGCCATTACACTAATTTGGACGCAAAATAATGAAGACTTGGAGTAGGGTAGTGACTGTGGGCATAAACAAAGGGGATGTTTTAGGGAGACAATAGACAAGTGACTGATTTGATGTAGAAAGTGAGTCTGAAGGAGCAGGCAAGGATGTATGAAAATATTCAGACCTTGGGCAGTTGTATGGTGTTAATCAAGATAATAAAAGCTGGAGAACAGGCAGTATTTTTATTTTTTTATTTTTTTTATTGTACTTCAGGTGAAGGCTTACAGAATAGTTTCTCATGAAACAGAAGTACACATGTTGTTTTATAACATTGGTTAACAACCCCAGAACATATCAACCCTCTAACTTCTCAACCTCTTTTTTTGTTTGGTGAAAATACACATAGCCAAAGATACACCGTTTCAAAAATTTCTACATGCACAGTTCAGTGACATTGACTACGCTCTTCGAATTGTGCTGTTGTTCTCACTTAAGATGAAGGCTTACAGAACAAAATAGTTTCTCATTTAACAGGT